CGGCGGCCGAATCTGAAATTGAGTAATGTTTTATGCTAGTTAGAATTTATGTGATTTTATGGTATATTTAATTGAAATGTGATTTGGTATGATTAAATTAGATTTAATAATGTTAAATTACATAAGTTTACCTAGTTACCATTGAGTGGCCTTTCTCTACATCAATATTTGGGACTTGATTAGGAGCTTTTGACACTTTATTCTTAGCCCCTTTCCTTATATCAAACCGACTAGAGAGAGAGAGAGAGATAGGAGATAGATTGATTTCAACCTAATTGGCTTGGACGCTTAGGAGATTGAAGGATTCCCTGCATATTGAGCTTCTACATTTGAAATTGGAAACTTAAGGTAGAGAATTTACCTTCTTGTTCATATTTTGGGTTGGTTCTTGCATGGTTTAGAGGGTTGTTGGAGTTTACAGCCAAGTTATGGCTTAAATTGTTGAATTGAAGCTTGAATCATGCATGCATGTACACATTCTTGTATTTTTGAAGTTGATTTTCATGAAATCTTGCATGCAAGTTTACATTCTTGTTCTAGTCCATGAGTTCATCATGGTTTTGAGTTTAATCTTGCTTTGGATCATGTTTTGAGGCATTAGAATTCACTAGAATTCATGCATGTCATATGTTCTTCATGTTCATGAAAACTTCTTTAAAATTGTGTTTAATTGAACTACCTTTGGGTTTTGATTTCTCAAATTGATCTTTGAAACATGTCATATTATGAGTTTACAAGTGTTTTACAGAAAATTAGCCCCAAAAGGATCAAATTTGATGCTTTAAAGTTGAGTTTTGAGCTTGAGGTTCAAATTTGGAAATTTCAGATTTTGGACTCACGCTCGAGTGAGGAACTCCATGCTTGAGTGTACACACTGAGTTCATGCAGTCCACTCAAGCGGGAAAAGTGACGCTCGAGCGGGAAATGTGTGTGTCTAGTACTTTGCATGTGTTTACAGTCCGCTCGAACGAGGGAATGCATGCTCGAGCGAGGACTTGTGTCTCATGCTCGAGCGGGGGTCGAGTGCCTGTCGAGCGTGAATTTCACCCATCCAGTACTTTTGCAGTCCGCTCGAGCGAAGTAAGTCACGCTCGAGCGGGGCTCTTTTGTCTGCATGTCCGCTCGAGCGGGGAAACCCACGCTCGAGTGGGACCCATTTTCAGCAAAATTTTGAAAAGTGTTTTTACATGTATCTTTGCATCCTCATTCCATCCTAGGCATTCTTAGGCCTAGTTTAAGACATCTTAATGAGGATATTGATGTAGAACCACACCGAGGAAAATTAGGGATTACGTTATTATTTCCCAACTGTGTAGTTTAGTGTGTGTTCGTTCTGTAACTGTGTAGGGTTGGCATCCGAGGACGCTCTAGCTGCTTATAGCCCAGTGCTTTGTGAGTAACAATGTTGTAAAGATATGTTCAATCATGAATATTTTTTGAATGAACAACTGTACTGCTTTTTGAAATGATATTTCTTACTGAATGAATATTTGTCCTATTTGTGAACTGTATTCGTGGCATCCATAGTAATTTACTATTATTGTACTGTACTGCTACTGTCACAGAGATCTCTGTCGGTTCTCATGTTTGGAACCACTACTGTTTACTGATATGATGGCCATCAACTGACTGCTCGGTCTGTTAAGACCTACTGTACTGTTTTGCTATTGGATGTACCATATATGACTATTATAGTTTCTGAATGACTGTTATGGCATGAAATATGAGCCACAAACTGAATGACTAATATACTGATAGATGACTGTTTTCAATACTGAAAGGACATTCATTCTTAACCTCTTTACGCAAATGTTATTCACTGGGCTTTAACTCACTGCTCATATATATATATATATATATATGTAGGTGTTCAGGCACCGGACCGTTGCTAGAAGCGTCAGGCTAAGCCCTTGTTTTGTCAAGCCAACCTTTGTGCCTCACTTCGAGGTTCCAGATCTGTTCAAGCTAAGGATGCTTTTGGGGTGTCTCAAATTCACCCTATCTGTCTCTGTTATGTATAGACTGTATAGACTGTTACTGTACTGTTATGGTAGGGATTTGGTCCCTAACCTGAATGATTGTATATGATGTATGTATATACTATTTTTGTTCTGAATGTGAATATGTTATGAAAAGTCTTTTTGCATACAGACTATCCTAATTGTAAATTGATGAGTTACTAATATTTTTAATCTTTTGTATAATTGATT